TCTCTCTCTCTCTCTCTCTCTCTCTCTCTCTCTCTCTCTCTCTCTCTGTTGCCTGTTGGCTACCTCCCACTTACACAAACACAGAAATAGAGTCACCAACACAACTTTCATCTCTAAATAACACACAACACGATATCCAAAAATAACCCACCGCACACAGCCTCCACGCCGGCTCTTATTAATGACCCTGTCTGAGGAGCCATCTGCTTTCGTGTAAGGCACTCACACCAGCAGCTGTGTGTGCAGCCTATGTGCTCAGGTCATGTACATGTATGGCAGGTTGTTGGCAGGTGCTCCGTGGTGCTCAATGATTTGTGAAGGGACTCCGTGTGCGGAAAGCAATCGGAGAAGAACGTCCCAGCTCACTAGTCAGTGTTTAAGCCGAGCTGCGGTCGTCCTGCTAAAAGGCCAGTTTCATATCCCACGCTGGGACAATGTTTCCTGTTTCTCTCTAAATTACAGTTTGTGAGTGTTGGATTAAGCTGTAATGACGGTTCGCCTTGCAAGTGCTGCATTTACTCCGTTATTTTTGTATACTGCGATGGAACTTAATCAATGATTCATTCAAATTGAAATACATAAAGTGTACTGTCTGACTACAACGGTTAATCTTTGACACATCCGACTGTGATTTGGCTCAAAAGCGGTTTCTACGAGGTCAATGAATGACGTCATTATCTCCTGCTTCTCACATGATCTCACATGATATTTCCTCTTCTTTCTAACAGCAAAGAGATAAAAAGAGAGTAAAAAACTGTAGTGTTTAAACTAAACTGCACATACTGTATGTGACTGTGTACGACGGTCTGCTAAAGCTAGTATGTACACTGTATACAATCGGTTTATAATGCCATTCATTGTCAGTGTTTTGCAACAAACCTGCTTGTGTATGCAATTAGTCTTCCCTGTGGGGAGCCAAGTGGATCCTGTTGTGTCCAGGAATGGGAATATGCTGAGCCATCTGCAGTATCATGCCTGCCCTATGTCGGTGTCTGCCGCCTCCTCAAGTAGAGGGAGTATGGTGTCTCTCACACACACACACACACACACACACACCCCCAGCAGGCATGTGCCCTCGTGCCTCACAGGTAGGACACTGCCTTTTTGTTACATACGCGGCCTCATGCACTTGCACAAGCACACGGTGATGCTAACATATAAGAGATCATGGTGTGATTTTATTCTTTGCATTAAGGTGATTTAATAGCTCGTGTTGCTCTGTTCGGTTTCCAGGAGTCTTAGCTTCCGCTTCACCAGTCCATCTGAGCTGCAACTACAAACGGGAGACGAGGTTTCTAAATGAAATGAAAGAAATACCTTTTCTTTGTTTGCTCTTGTCTCTATGGAAACATTGACAAAGACTCAGCAGCAGATGGCTGTGGCACATCTACGCGGGTCTAAGTCGAATGTCTTGACTGCCATCTCTTACTTATCGTACCTCAAATATCTGTTTCCACCTTTTTAAAGCAGCGCCAATTAAATCCAGAAGGAGGAAGTCGGTCCAGAGGCGTCTTTACGTCACGGATGCACAGACGTTCTGAAACAATCCAGACGTCACATTCATCATGAACTCTGTCTGTTGGTGTATGTGAAACATGCTCCTAAGCCAAAACACAAAAGCATTAGCGGCATCATGCAGTTATATAGCGTGTTTAAAGAGAGAGCGTACTAAAGGTCTGTTTTTCATTCATTTTACGGTATGCGTTCAGTATTTTGTTGTTATAAGTGAACATATGGCTCTATTTGGGTATATCAGAGGATCCACTGTCATGAGGAACATTCGAGAGTAGAGTTTCTCCAGAAAGGTCCTTATTTGTGTACATTCTGCATGAACATGCACTTATAAATGTTTTGCAGCTACCTCTACTATGTTTGGCTTGACTTGAAATGCAGCCTGCCGTAAGCGGCATAATGACGGCAGAAGTAATGCATTCCACATGTTCACAATTAGGCATACAATCGGATCTGGGATTTGCTCACCAAATATGGAGATGACTTGTGTGATGCAACATGGTTGTTTGCTACTACAACAGCGAGGTAGAAAGTGGACCACACATCAAATTTGGCTGTTTAGATCCCTCATTTGCATGCAAGCTGCCATAAATGGAGATTTGAAATTGTAATGTACCGCAAATATCAGTATTGTACTGTATATTTTGTGAATATAAATACTAGGCCACAGTAGCGAGACATGAAAGCCAGCCGAGACCTCGCGCTGTGATCAACTCAGGAGAATTTGTCTGGCTGATGAGGCCATCATAGAACAAAGTGGCTGTCAATCAAAAAAAGTCCTATTATTTTTGTATTAATTACATCTGCTTCTCTTTATCACTTAACTACACAGGATCTAGATGACAGAGCTGATGACATCATGGACAGACGCTCTCTATATAAACAGTTTCCTTGCCTATTTATGGCAGTGAGGTTGAGTAAGAAAGACAGTTTATGAACAAAATGTCCAATCAGTAATTACAAACACCTTCCCTGCTAAGTCTCCTTCAGCAGGTTGAGGAATCCACTCTGTTTTATGACCTGCAGTGGAAAGCTAAACGTGGATTTGATGATTCATTCAGAGCATTTTTTACATTGTAGATTCCTGGTTAGACTGAGTAAATAATCCATGCAAATTAAGGGGAGCAGCGAAGATTCCTCCTGCATGATGGAGACCAAATATGTTCTAGTCAGCCAGACATGGACAGGGACAGGCAGAAAGAAAAGAGAGAGACAGAGAACATGGGAAGGGAGCGAGAGAGAGAAGAGGGTGTGACCCTAATCCCAGAGTGGGAAAGAACCTCACACACACACACACACATCTGGTCCATCCAGTTTCTACTTTTCATTTTAGATAAGAAGTATGTGAGAGGTTAAATGTCAGACTGGCGTACTATACCCTTATGAGGTGAGTCAGCACTCCAGTTAGTTCATGAGTTACTCAGTGGGCTGTCATTCATAGATCGAGGGTGTGGTTGTTCGGTTTATGCTGAAGATCATTCATGAGTCATCACCTCTTTCAGTGTCCTCAATGGCCTCTCTGTAGCTGCACCAGTGTGTGAGGGAGGGCTCCACCGTTACCATTTTGAATCTGATATATCACTCAGGTAACGTCTGTGAATTTGCACAGGCAAATGTTTCATGTTTCAATGACACCGACGTACCCGATAGCGAGGGGCCAGCATCCCCCCCCCCACTCTGTGCGCTGCAGAGTCATGTAGAATACTGTGTGGGCTTTACCCTGCATGCAAGCCATTACATGTTATGCCACCCCACCAAGATCACAAGGTAGGCTACTCACTGTTCCAGTTGAAGGAGGCCATGCCACTATGCAGACTGAACAGATTCGGTTACTGACACCCCAGCTCTGTGTTCTGTCCAAAAGGACCTGCAGTGAAGGTTTTGCTTTCTGTCTCATTAAAAAACAATGAACAGCAAACCAGGTTGTTGGAGGAAAATGTGTGTCAGATATGTGACATGGGCATGCAGGTCTTCATCCCATTCATTCATATTAATCTAAACATTTGAATACCAAAGCGTTTCTCCCAATAAATAAAGAAAGCAGTGGGTGTTAATGGTCCGGTGAACAGGTATAACTGATGTTTAGACATACAAATTAACTCAAATAGTTACTAGTTACAGTTGACTAACTTCATAGGAGAAAGTTGTACTTTGCAACTGAGATGCACTGCCCTCATGTGGTCACGGTATTATGAGTAAGTAACACAGAGACTCCACTCTTGTAGTGTGTGTGTGTGTGAGAAAGGGAGGGAGAGAGAGAGATGAAAGTGTGGGATCCAGCCGGCCTATATCTGTCTCCCCACTCCCACATGAAATGCAGATAAGGAGAAAAGAAGGTATCTTGTCTGGGGCGCAATGGTGACCCACATCCCAGCTACACCACACCCCCCTAAAGCATCTCATCACGTCAGACTCCATAATGACCCACGCGATCTGAGCTATATGACTCCCATACATACCACCGAATGGCCTGGTATTTAACTTTAAATGTGCCAGTAACGCCTCCGCATGCCACGGGATGTACGTGGGCACTTCCTCTGGATTTCGAAATGCCTCATTTTATTCTATCAGTGGGAGCCAGACTCGTTAGGGCTGCGTCCATTTCTTGTTCCACAGGAGGGTCCGTGCTGAAAGTGAATTTTTGTAAATTGAATCATGAATCACTTTTATTCTCCTAATCACTAACACGGTATTCTTGGACTTTGAAACATGTCTCCTTCGCATTGGTCATTTTTGTCGACTATTTTTTAAAATCCATTTTTGAACGACCACCCCTACGAAACATGGTACGCCCCACTCCCTGCCGTTAGCCGTTGTTATATCCAAATGCTAGTGAACAGATATGTTGCTACACGCTGGCGTTAAAGCCACGAAAAGATGCGCCTTCACGGGATTAAAACAATAAAGCAAACAACAAGAAGTCTGGAAAAACTTTGCCCAACTGTGCCCAAACTTTGGTAGACTACAACCCAAAGCACTTCCCTTCAGTTTCGAGTGTGTTAGCATTGTTTTATCTCTCGCCACTATTGCCGTCGGACGCGTTTTTATCTTCTTCTGGAGCAGTCCAGTCTGATGAATTCACCGAAAAAAGACGGAGATGATGATGTGCCCGTTAAAGACCCGGTAAAATACGGAGAATTGGTCATTTTGGGGTAAGTCTCTTCAAAAACCTAGACCGATAGTAAAAAAAAATTGTGTGAGGACGGAGAAAACGCTCCAGCGGTGAATTAAGGTTTAATATGTAGCACAATGAACCACCAGATGACGAGTTTAGATTTAATCCACTGCTCTTATTAAAGATAGCAACATAGTAACACATTTATACCTAATGTATTGCACAATAGCGCCGCACACCACCCGCCTGTGTAGTAATGTTACAAAGTAACTTTATGTCACGAATGGCTACATTTTCTCTAGAGACTGTAGTCGTGTTGTTTTCCACATCAAGTAAGTAATGGTGCGTTTGAGTGTTTAAGGTGCACAAATCAAATGTGGTGTAGCCATAGCACAGGCTACTACGGATGTAGCCGCTTTTTTTTTCATCAATGGTTGTAGTGGGGGCTGAAAATCCCAATGATGTCATACTATGCTGGATCTAAAAAGTAGGACCGGCGATGATTTCATTGTCTGGAAAAAAATACATGAATCCTGCTCATGTTATTTAGTCATAAAGTCTCTTTTATTACTGTAATAAATAAATAAAAACGTCGCTGCCAGATGACCACCCATGCCATTTAAAAAAAAAAAAGAAAAAAAGAAAAAAGGAGGAGTCGGAGAAAAGCCCCCTCTCTACATCACCAGCACACAGTGGGCAGGATGTGCTGATGACAGCCACCAGCTTCCACACCATTTCCAGCCCGATACAGCTCCACACTGTGCAGGGTCTGCAGGGAGCAGAAATGCCACAACACACACACACACACAGTCATATCCAGGCTTACACAGGCATCCCTCTTGCCCCGCAGAGCTTCCTGTGTATGCCAAAGATAACTGACCTAATGGCCTGTCTCTTCCCCTCCGGCTGAACATGGAGTGAGGAGGCCGTAGTCCGCCCGCATCAGAATACTGATTAGTCGCCCTCGTCGTCATCTGACTGTTTGAACAGAGCGGCCCTTTTACATCCTCCAGACCAGAGAGTGAGGAATTGGATCGTTTAATGCCCATTATGAGTTTTTTTCGGGGCAGGCAACTTGAACACACCAAGCGTGCTCTGCGGTGGGTGCCACGCCGCTTAATGCGTCTCATTGAGGGGGTCAAGAAAGCATTTGTATTAGCTCATTTCAAAACTGTTGCGATTGAGGTTTGGTGTGATCTTGTTCTGCCACAAGCTGGCAGGCTGTGATAGGTATCATCTCTGTGTTATGGGGAAATAGATTTAGCTGTAACTCGAAGAGCGTCTTCCATTGTCGCTGTTAGAAATGTCACATTCTCATTAGAGTGGTAGACGATACACTATTAATGTCAACATTATTAGGTGATCCCGTATACGGATCAGTTGGATGTATTAGGGTTCAGACCCGTGACCAGTTTGTTTGTCCCCGAACATACAACAGGTGACTTTGACAGTAGATAGAACAGGCTGTTCTTTCTACTGCTTCCTGTCACATATCGTATTTGCTTGGCCTGCTTTGTGCGAGTGTGGGTTGACTTTGCATCTGTCAGGCTTGACGATCACATGCCCCGTGTGGTCGATGCCGGCCTCACTGCAGGCCGTGTGATCTTTGCAGTGGCTGCCTGCCATCGCTCATTACCTTAGTTAGCCTGGACACCGTGTACAGTGCCGCCCTGTCCAGCAGCCCGGCAAAGCTCCACTCCCTCATAACCCACTCCCATCACGATGCAAACACCCCCTGCTCCCCCGTCCTCTCTGCATTTATCACCCCCGCACACCATTTTATCTCCCCCTTAACCCCTCTTAACGCCGTCTCTGTCGCATTCCTCCGTCTCTCGCTCAGTCCCTTCCCTGGCAGCCTCTTGGTGTTTTGCTGAGTGCTGACTTTCTCAGAGGCAGGCCCCCTTGGTGGTTTGCCCTCAACAAAAATAAACTCCGTGTCGAGGGGCAGAAGGAGTGAATATTTCATATTGTGCTTTATAATGTGCGCACATGCGTGATGCAGGCCAGAACAGCCCGGGCAGATCTCATGGAGCTGCTCTTCCTCTGGCCTTTACCCTCAACCCTCTTGTCTCCTAGCCTCCTCTCTCCCTCTTGTCTCCTAGCCTCCTCTCTCCCTCTTGTCTCCCTGCACCCTGCCCTTCGTTTATCTTTCTCCACTGCTCATGATATAGCTTCAGACACATTTTCTGTCTCTGTTTCTGTCAAAAGCGCTGGCTACCTTTTCTCTTTTGTAAGCTGATTCTCTCTCCTGTGCCCTCTTATCCGTGGTCCCATTTCATATCCTCTGCCTTTTAAACCAGACTCCTCAGAAGCCTGTCCTCGTGTGTCTTGTTTTCCTGACCCAGACCTTCTCTTGTCAGCCGGGGTCCAGTTTAAACTGCCGGGCAGGCTCATGGAGGGAGCAAGTAGCACTGTGATCTGGCCTGTTTGAAGTTTTTTTTAAAGCCAACACACCCGGTCCTCTTACCAACATGCCGCTGACTGCCTGCCCTGCTCTGGCCTCAGGGTTGTTCCCCACAGGGTTGTTCCCCTGTGATTCATGGAAGTGTAGCTCATTAAAAATGCATAATGTCAACAAACTTCCCTTACACACACAGACACACACACATTTAACCACCAGAAACCATTCGTATATATTAAGATTACATTTATTACCTATTAAAGTAATATAAGAGAGGTAAATATAGGCAACGGTTTTGTGCTCCGCTGGGATTTTCACTTTGTTACAACTCAGAAAGGTCAGAAATGTTGATGATTGACTGGGTTTCTATCTTATTTCCTGCCATATGTTCAGATGAAGTCTTATCTGGTATTTGATTTGTAAACATAACTTTTTTTCCAAGTTTTGTGCGAGGGAAATTCCAAACTAAAGATACCAAGTGGCATGCGGAGCTCTAACTCAGATTTTGAATAGATATTAAAGGTGTTATATTTGATATTCAGAGCATTAATATAGCAGCAAACAGCGATGTAAAGATCTATTGGCGTAATGAGCAGAGAATGAAGTCGCTCTCCCTGTGTGGGCTGTAATCAGAGCCTCTCCATACTTTGTTGACAGCCCGGCGGTTACACTTGCCTATAGTGCATGTTCGTACATGTGAGCGTGTCCCACTCTGCATTGCTCTCATATGGCGGTTACAGCTAACAACGCCCGTCCCAACCGACAGCGTTGTTGTGGTAGCGTAGCGCCCAAAGCTCCGGTTCCCCTTCACGTAAACACCGTTAGATGTGTCGGCACGTTAGCTGCAAGCCGCCAGATCAGCTGTTGCCATGTTGAGAGCACAATTATGCCAGTTTGTTATAATTTATCAAAACCACAGTTTTAAATAGTTACATTTATGTATCTTCAGACCTACAACTTACTTTCACTGTGGATTTATCTGCCGGTTATTTGTGCAATTAACTGATTAACCAATCCTGTTAATGTCAGAAGAAAGTGAATTCACATTTAGAAATATCTTTTTTTTATCTGATTAACAGTAAGATATTCAGTTTACTATCATAAAAGACAAAGAAAACTGGCAAAACAATTATTTTGTTCTTGTATTTTGCATAAAAAATGACTTAAGAATCGTTGACAATTAATGAAAAGAAAAGTATTCAATTTGTAATGATGTAAAATGAAGAAGGAAGCTGTGATGAGCCGCTTATTGGCATTTCCATTTTATGTATTAACAAGTAAATCACTTTTTTAAAATTATTACTGTTTCATTTTCTTATGAGCGGCTGCTTGATGAATCAATCACAGTTTCAGCTTTTTTGATACTAAACACTGAAAGCAGGCAGTGGTTTCCTCAGCCCCCGCTGTGAGGCGGGGGCTGATCTGATCCAGAATGAACGCCATTGTCCCTCAAAGTCTTCCTGCCCACCGGTTATCCTCTGAATAGTTTCTAATAAAGACCACGCGCTGCTGATTAGAAAAGCCTAAAACCAGCATTCTGTGTGAATTCAAACTGTGAAAATGATGTCCCACTTAAAAACAGTTTAGTCAGCACGGACACCAGAAAGGTTCTAACATCAAGCTTCCATCACTTTTTATTAAAACATGAAATGTGACATAAAGGTTTTGATATTTCATTCTAAAGCTCTCAAGGTTCAGAATATTCCTGCTCTCATGAGAATTATCTGAATTTTCTGTTTCTGTTAACGAATGCAAAACATTTTTCGTGTGTCATGAAAAGTATTCTGTTCTGCTGAAAATGCTTTTTATTGTAAAAAAAAAAAGAAAGTGATTAGATGAAGAGCGAGCTCCGCTTCAGTGAGTGTGAGCATCAAGTGGAAGCTGAGTGAGATCAAGTGGTAGTTCACCAGTGGCCCGAGTGGGCTGCTCTTCTAAAATAATCTCTGATAATGTCGCCCTAAAGATGCACCAGGTCATTGGAGCTTGCACTCTAATTGCAGTTATTTCTTCAGACATCTCGGCACCATCAGTGGCGTTTCATTTATAGCTTTAGTTTCCCCAGAAGAAATGGCCAATCATAAATACAGCATGCAAACAACAGAACTGTGTTTTTCCCGCCGTTCGGCTCTCTCAGTGAAGCTAGATGAACTGGCATGAACACGTGTGAGCTTGAGCCGTATTCTAGTCTGGAGATTCTGGTCTCGATTGGTCGGGTCTGATGTGCTCACATTGTGTCCGTTTCTCCAGGTACAATGGCTCTCTTCCAAGCGGAGACCGCGGGCGCAGAAAGAGCCGCTTCGCTCTGTACCGAAGAGCCAAGGCCAACGGGGTCAAACCCAGCGCCGTGCACATCCTCAACACACCGCAGGACAGCAAGGTACGTGTGTGTGTGTGTGTGTGTGTGTGTGTGTGTGTGCGTGTGTTTGTGTACTGTTTTATCTGAGAACATTGGTTTCCTTCCTGTGACTCCCTGTTGTCTTTTATAAATGAGCTACAAGAAGAATGACTCAGCATGACGACTGCTATATGTGGGCTGTCTGTCCTATATGCGTGATTGTGTAATTGAAACATGATGATGAAGTAAAATAAAAGTAAGGATTTTTCATCACAATCAGGTTATTGTCTCATGCTGCTGTCACATGTAACGTTAAAATAATCATTAATGGAGGAACATCTGATTTTTGAGTAGCATTGTCATTCAGTCTGATGTATGTTATGTTATGAAAGACTTTTCTAGAGGAGTGGATCCACTGAGCTCGTTGCCGTTGTTGTTGCAGGCTGTCCACAGCAGGGGGCAGCACAGCATCTCCTTCACTCTGTCTCGCAACCAGACGGTGGTGGTGGAGTACTGCCATGACAACAGCACAGACATGTTCCAGGTAACCACCGAGGAAACCAAGAAAAACAGGGTCAACAGTGGCTCGTTTCACGGGACAAATAATCCCAGATTTGTGATCACGTGCAAGCGTCTCCCAAAAATACGCCGTTATGTAACGCCATCACGGGGATTTGTGACCGTTGAGTATTACGAGCAAAGACCAAGGAAGTCTATTTTTATACGCAAAGTTCTTTTAATAGCATCACATATTTATTTAGTTTCCTGCTAATGATGACGTATCTTTCACCGACAGTGATAAAAGCCACAATCACGGGGAAACAATGTTTAAGGTTGTGGAAAATCCCACAACCCACTTTAAGCGAGTGTGCGTCTAAAACTATTAATAATGGTCTACTAACATCATTTTAAAAGCCATTTGTTTTGATGTAATGTATCCATGAATATCAATGAGTCGTAGTGAACACCTCTCTGTGCTGTGCCCTGCAGATCGGACGCTCCACAGAGAGTCCCATTGACTTTGTGGTGACGGACACCTCCGGGGTGGGGAAGGAGGGGGAGGACCCCTCCATCGCTCCGAGCACCATCTCGCGTTTTGCCTGCAGAGTGGTGTGTGAACGCAACCCACCTTACACTGCACGAATCTACGCCGCTGGGTTTGACTCCTCCAAAAACATCTTCTTAGGGGTGAGCGGACTGATGATCCAAGTAAAAATCTAGTTATGGTATCTGTATTGTATGTAATTTGAAATACTTATAAACCTCATGTCTTGGCCACATCAGGAGAAAGCAACCAAATGGAAAAACCCTGATGGGCACATGGACGGCCTGACCACCAACGGGGTGCTGGTGATGCACCCGGAGGGGTTCCCAGAGGACCCCAAGCAGGGTCTGTGGCGGGAGATCTCCGTCTGTGGGGATGTTTACGCCCTGCGTGAGACGCGCTCTGGACCCAGCCGGGGAAAACTGGTGAGTCGCCAGCGTCCACGTTGCTGCCACGATTAAGGTAGTGAGGTTTTTCTTTTGATTGTAAAGTAACGTGTCTATCTGTGTCAACGTTTTCAGGCGGAGGGTGAGAGCAGTGCACTGCGTGACGGTTCCCTGGTCGACCTGTGCGGTGCCACCCTGCTGTGGCGTACAGGTGAGGGGCTCATGCGCGCCCCCACCCTGCGTCACCTGGAAGCACTTCGCCAGGAGCTCAATGCGTCCCGGCCCCAGTGTCCCGTAGGCCTCAGCACGCTGGCCTTCCCCAGCATGCCACGCAGCCACAGGTGGGAGTATGTTTCCAAACTACTTATTTTCTATCATGGCGTTCATCTTGTTTCATCTCCAGTAGCCTGCCTTTTAAAGACACCTCCACATTATTTTAAAAACAGAAAATTAAATACTGATGCTGTTCATGTGTCGCTTCAGCCTTGAAGAGCGTCAGCCTTGGGTCTACCTCACTTGCGGCCATGTCCACGGACGCCACGACTGGGGCCAGAGATCCGAGGGAGTGGCGGAGCCGCGAGAGGGAGAGGGCTCCACAACCCGCCGAGAATGTCCCCTGTGCCGGAGCGTGGGTCCCTACGTGCCCCTGTGGCTGGGCTGTGAGCCGGCCGTGTACGTGGACGCTGGAGCTCCCACTCACGCTTTTGTGCCGTGCGGCCACGTCTGCTCAGAGAGGACAGCCAGGTACTGGGCCGAGACCCCGCTGCCCCACGGGACGCACGCCTTCAGAGCCGTCTGCCCCTTCTGCTCCGCCGCCCTCAGCACCCCCGGCTGGACGCGGCTCATCTTCCAGGGCCCCATCGACTAGTCGCTACTCAACACACAACCACTATCACAGTAACAGCCGGATGCCTGAGCTTCATCCGCGGTGCAATCGTTGGTCAGTGTTCAGTGTGGACAGGTAATTGGTTAGGAGTGCCTGTCCTTTTCACGTTCTAACAGCAGGTGTGCGCCACACATTCTGAGTGTACAACAAACACTGTCCAACGTTGTGACTGGATGTAGCCCAAAGCTGAATCCCTGCCCTCGTTCATCCCTCAGTGCTTGTTGATTGGTATAAGATCTGGAGAATAGGTGGACAGCATTTACTCTAAATGGTCCTCTTGTCAGGGAACATTCTGCTGTTTTTCATTCCAACTAAACACCAGCTGATTTTGCTCAAGTGTAAGTACAACAAATCATACACAGGAGCTCAGCCGATGCTGCTTGACCCTTTTGAAAACAATTATTTCCACTCCATTATCAAATGACAAACGGATCTTAACACGTTTATTTGTATGTCTCAGAAGCCATGTCTGAAATGACGAGTAGCTTTTTGCACAAAAGAAAGGAATGGCCTTTTTTACTCAGTTCACCTGCAGCGCCTTACTCGCCTGCAGCGCCCGTGTGTCCTTAAACTCGGTGAAACGCCGCCTCTTGCACTTCTCGGCCTGATATCCGACCACTTCTTGATTTCTCAAACACGTCACCGTAATTGTTGTGAAATGCTGCCACTCATCAAACAGTATAACCCACCCGGTCTCAGCTTATGCAAAAAAAAAAACCTTCACCTCTCACACCTAGTCTCTTTATAGATTTGCACCCTGACGTCCCCGTCTTCCTCCCTCAATGACCGGCTGCTTTATATTCATAGCCGTGTTCTCAGCAGGCAGGTTTAACTCCTCATGGTGAACGTGTGGGAGGTTACAAGGTGAGATCAGAGGCTTGTGCTTCTACACTGCATTTACAGTGAATCACTAGTATTTCTTTACGCGAGTATAAGATGTTTTCATCCTTTGTCTTCATGTATCAGACGTCAATGAGCCTCCTTGTGTCCTATGAGGTTGGAATGAAAACCTGCAGACTCTTTGATTATCTCTGAAGCACTAGAGGGGCCGCTACACTATGCTGTGTCAAATAGTTCACCTCTTAAGGACAAATCTTACGCTGATTATCAAGCAGGCGGAGGATAAGCACGGGCTGGGAGTGAAACTGGGTAAAATCCACTTCATAACTCTCTACAGCAATAATAGCAGTCCCATAGATAAGCTAGATGTTGTGCTACGGTTAGCCACGCGTGAGGGCGGCGGCCGCGTTGAACATGGCTGAAATGGTTTCCAGGTTAAGCGCTCAACCAGAGGCGTGTTCAATATCACGATTTGTTTTATTTCCAAATGTGGTGTGTGTGTGTCTGTGTGTGTGTGTGTGTGTGTGTGTGTGAGTGAGTGATGTAACCAAAGCACTAGAATTTAAAGATGAGCAACTGAATCAGCGAGGAAACACCTGACATTCATTTTAATACTCACTAAATACTCATTAATAGCCTAAACGTGTTGACAGAAATGAGCACGTTTACGCTGCCGAAGAACACAGCAGCTGTCGTAAAAGAAGAAATTGCATCGCTACTGTTATTTTGAACACGCTTCTGGTTGCTGAATTCTGCTGAACAGGGTCCGTGTTAGAGTGGTATGCATAACCTCAAAAGATAACCTTTTTGTTGTTGTTTAAAGAAAACTATTTTGTTAGGAAAGGGGGAGGGGTTTATTTGGGGGAAGCGGGAGGAATTCTTTTAGATGTTCAGTGTTTAAAAAAAACAGCAACTATTTTTCTAACTGATAATTGGTTTTAGTGAACTATTGTTACTCAGTGTAAGCAGGTTCCGTATGTTTCTGAATTGTTCTCATGTGGTAGATCTAGGAGAGCTTGTGAGTGAGAAAACATTGCCAACACTGTGTCCAACAAACACACACTTAACACACTGCTACCGTAAAAACATTGCCCAGACAATGAATGTAGCCAAATACTCAGGCTATATTTAGCCTTCCCTGGTGCTCATAATGAATGGTCTATATTGTGATACTATTTTTGTAACTGAATATTATGGTGTTGCTTGGTGAACTAGCTTGAAAAAGTCAGATCATTTTCAATAATAGCCTCAAAAGTGTGGAAGACGTATAATTGATAATACACACTCACGTGGAAATTGTGTCTAGCTTGCATGTGCTGAACGTACACATACAGTATGTACACTACACGTACTCGGAAAAACTTTGCACGGTTGATTGCCAACCTGTTATTCATGCTGAGAGCGTTTCTCGCAGACCAAGATGTCTTCCGAGCCCTCAGCTGGTAAAACTACATCATTTCAGTTTCTTTCTTTTGTTTTGGAAAACTTCTCTAAAAGAAAAATAGAGGGAGAGAGAGAGAGAGAGCCTAAAAAAAAAAAATCCTCATACTTGATAGATGCGTGACTTTTGTGAATGAGACCTGTCCAATCCCACTTTGTACTACTATGCTAATATTTCCCACCAAACCAATTCACTGCAGAAAGCATTTTGTATTCAGAGCGATCATGGGACATTTAAAGTGACTGAAGGTCAGCCTGCTGTTTAAAAAAATAAATGAAAGCTGTTTGATGTTTAAATACAAGATTTGAACTCCCGATAGTGGATGGTTGATAATTACTGTAGCTCAGGATTAGTGATTTCAGATTCATAGCTAGAGAGACATGACAGGAGCCTGGTAGGCCACACCTTCAGTCAAAAAGATTCACAACTGCAAAAAAAACACATAAACTAGGTGTGAGAGTGATCATCTGATGTAAATGCCAAATTTGAGAGGACGTACTGTCGGGTAGACGGCCACAGGTCTAGCATCAGTCACATACGGGTCTTAATTAAAGGGGCACAAACAGGCTATGAAAACATCTGGATGAGCTGCACGCCCAATCCAGTGAATCCTGCTTTTGAAGAGAACGTATACAACAATTAATGTAACACCATTGGCGTGTGGATGGAAGAACCGTTGCAGTACCCTCATTGGCTTCTAGTTTATATGCTGATATATTTATTTTAGCTCATTTTCCTTTACTTTTCCTTTACTTTATTCTTCCTTTAAACCCTCTTTGGGTTATAGGTGTCCATATGCAATTTCCTCTCCCTTGTTTTTTAGATTTTTAGTATTGGTGAATTTTTCAGATACAGTATTTTAGGTTGTTTTAAACCACTAGTTACATCATTAGCAGTTTCTCTAACTTTGTTTTTTTTTTAATTATATGTTTCAATTGAGCTTCACTTCAAAATGGCAAAACCTCAACCTCCTCATCTAATTAACTCATCTTTCTACAGGTGAGCGAGTAGCTGACACGTATACAGCGTAAAACCTCACAGTTGATAATGCATTCCCTTTTAATACATCTGTGTTATGTACAGCCATTTTGTATTATTTTATATCATATTCTTCTGTAATCGTCCGGTGCACAGACAATCGCTATACACATGTCAATAAACCTGTTAAAAATGAATTTCTTCTGGCTCTCTTGTCACGTCTGAGTTCTTCTCCAGGAAATAGATCAGCATAAAGTCAAGAATGTGCCTGTTACACAGAACACAGTTCATTGTATGTATTAAGTAGAAAAGTAAAGAAGTGAATGTCATATGTGTTGCTGCCAGCAGAGGGCGCTCTCTACAAGCACTGAAGCTGACAGCAGGACACACACAAACACACACACAGAGGAAGATGAGGTTACTCTGAGTTGCATCACCTCTTTAAAATAATCAACCGTTTTAATGAGCAGTTTTGGCAGTCATGTTCATCACCACGCAAATGTGATAAGACGCTTCAAAATTTACAGAATGCCTGATTTGAAACAGCAATTGAAACGATGTAAGTTTGTTTCTTTGAAAAAGTATTCAGGATTTGTGCTGAAAGACTCCTGAAGACCTGCTGAGAGTGGTGTTACTCAGAAGTTTGTTCATACATTATTTCCCTGTTGAACCATGGGGAAGAGGCTTTCCTTTTCTTTCTCTTTCAAAGATTATGAAACCCATTTCATGGGTATGTCAGTGCCACACTACAGTTAATTTATTCCAAAGCATGGGCGAGAGAAAACCCAAAGCTGAAACTCTATCGACAGTTTGAACAGAAGTAAATTCTGGTTTATGTTAAGATATTATGAGATTTTCATATAATAGGTTGGAATAAGTGACGTGTCCTTACTCGTGAGTGAACACATTTGGTAGCATTTTGTTATCGTTTGCTTCAATGCTCCGATAATCATTACAACCTTTTTCCAGTTTTCAATGAACTCAGAAAGGTAAACTTTTCTCCGGAAGGTTAAACAATTTAGCTCAGAGAAATATTTTAATGGGGACGAACACCTCAAAGTAAAAAATATCCCAATCGTAGACGTCACCCAGTAGTTTGTGGACTACGGTTCTGAAGCCTCGAGTTCGGCACTTTGACCGTCACCATCTTGGCTTTTGGCAACCAGAAGTGACACGAGGGGGTGGAGCTAAGTGTAACTGCTGAATAAGACATTTTTAGGTGACCCAAAGGCCAAAAGGTTACAATTATTAAATATGAACTGAAAACACACTGTGTAAGGGTTAAAGTTGTAAGACGAAAACACGGACAACTCCCAGACCGGACAGCGTCGTGGTAGCGACCTGTCAATCGCACGGTAGTTTTACTCTAAATGGACCATAATCTACTGAATGAACATCATGCTGTATTGAAGAAGACTTAAAACTAGAGATTGAGACCATAAACTCATGTTTACAATGTTTACTGAGGTAATAAATCAAGAGAGAAGTAGAGTCATTTTCTCATAGACTTCTGACCTCTTTTGCAACCAGAGGAGTCGCCCCCTAATGGCCAGCAGGAAGAATGCAAGTTTAAGACACTTCAGCTTTCAGACCACTGCTGCTGCTTTAGTGAGTCCTGCTCCAGTAGGTAGGGCTTGTCTTGAAGAAGCAACTGTCCAAAGCCAACTGTTTTTTATTAATGTAAGATTTTGGTTTTAAATGCTGTATGTTCCTAAATTAATTTGGTTTTAATCATATTACCATTATAGGAAATACTGTATATGCTTAACAGAGAAAGGGGCGGTTGGGGGTTAATGGGGGCCCAGCAGCTCTTTCCGGCCCTGAGTGTGTGTGTGTGTGTGTGTGTGTGTGTGTGTGTGTGTCATGGGACCTAGCATAGATGATGGAGGCAGGGTTTAGCAATACAGTTCAATTCTCAGCGGAGGGATTTGTAGGTTTTGATCCCAGCTAATTAATGTGAAACCCTCAATGGGGAGTAACGGGTATCTGTGGCTGGGAAGTTTGAAGGGGACTGTGTGTGTGTGTGTGTGTGTGTGTGTGTGTGTGTGTGTGTGTGTGTGTGTGTGTGTGTGTGTGTGTGTGCATGTAAGTGTACATGCATATGTCTCTGTGCGTGCATGCATACAGACACAGTGTATAAGCTTGTGAGGAGCATGTGAAGGCATCTGAGTCGTGTGTGTGTGTGAGTGTTAATCAACGACTCAGATATCTTCCTCTCTGCGGACTCACTCTGGAGGTAACAGCGGCGTTTGTGCCATTGTTTCATCAATCCACCCATTAACTACAAACACTGGGAAACTTTAATTAAGCTGGGGGCCACAGACGATTAATTAACTTTAAGACTTTCACTTCTTTTTCTTCCCTTCTACACATTTCACTAAGTCAGTGAGCCATAGAAAGTGTTAATTTAGCCACATAATTTACAAATCCAATTAAAGCCAATATTAAGGCATCACAAGCTGCTGTCCTGTGTTCTCTAGTCTTATAAGACTTTTCTCTTTTGTGCCTCGAGTCGCAGAGAATGCCGGCACACGTAAGCTGAGCAGAATGTATTAAACAGGGGTTAAGAGTTGTAATAAGTTTGATTATTTTATGGAGTTTATTATGCTGTGTTATCCTGTTAGGGAGGTGATGTTGTGGCAGTGGGTTGGTAATCCGGACTGTCTTGTGTCTCATCAAGTGGTCTCCCACTCTGCCACCGTGGAGGCTGGCGTCACACGTCACCGTTTTGGAGGGGAAGGCCCAACCCGGATGAGAACTTGACATCTAACACCTGTCATATATAGCTCATTGCCTCACTGCCGATGATGCTTCACTTTCCACCTCCACTTACTCCAGTTTTATCCAACCACAAGATCCCTCTCACTTTTATATACACGATTTAATTTAGCTTAAAATGTCAAATACAGCATTAGAGCAAGGAGAGGCTGAGGTCGTGTCCTCGATTTACAGTCAAAAACCTGCACATGGTGGAAATATTTTAAAGGATGATTCCTGTATTTCAGGCTATATGTGATTACATTTGAATACGCTTTGGTTAATTATTAAGAATTCAGTATTTCTCCACTAGGATGTTATTCCTGGCAGTGTGATGCAGTTAGAACTAAGACCTTCAGTTGGGATTTTATATAAAGTATGATTTAACAACTAACAATTATTTGATCCAAAAAATCCAAATCTATATTTTTTTTAAATGAGAATTTCTTTGTGGTGTCTTGTCATTGTTTTTTACATTGGGTGAAGGAGACCTCATGACCTCAGTTTTTCTAAAATGCTGTTTACTATCATGGCTGTTAGAACCACAGATCAAATTGCATTCACATTGTATTAATTTAATTACATTTTCTCTATTAAATAAATGCCAAGTTTACTTCCTGACAAAGACAAAACCTCCAATAACTTAATAGTTTAGATTTTAATGAAAATGTTCCGGGAGACGCAACAGGAATTAAAAATAATAACGCAATGTGATGTGAAAACGCACTATTACAACTCTGGTGAAAACCGGCGCAGTTGAACGCCGCAGTGGGAAGCCACGGCCCTCTTCGAGTTTTGGACATGGACGTAAGGACCCGGATGACCGACCTGGATTCTCGCAATTTTTATTCACATGAATAAACTGTGGTAAGGTTCTCCTAAATAGCTATTAAACCAGCATGAACTATATGTTAGTGTATTTATATAGTATTTAGATGTAGTATAACTTCATGCACTTTAGCTGGTTTTGCTACTGAAACTAGTGAATTCAAACAGATAATATGACCAAATTAACAAGTTAATTACTTACTTAATGCTTTTTGTCCCTGTTGAACATATCTTTGTTACTATTTGCTTCATTACGGTCATATCCTGTGCAGACCAAATTAATGGCTATGCTTCAATTTGTGAATTTGGCTTGTTATCATATCAGCCTGATGGTTTGTTGCCTCTTTTTTTAGCTGAGAAATGTGGATATTTAGCATTCAACCTATTGTGACTCATCTTTTCTGTGGTATTTATGATTCCTTAAGTCTGCAGCTCTGATTTCACGTTCAATGTTTGTGACATATAATGCTTGAATCTCTACTCGCTAATTTCTCTTTCAGTTTCTGTTCCTGTTTGATTTATTTAGTGTTTTGCTTTTGAATCCGTGCTCACTTGTCATTTTTCATGTTCCCCATTTTGCTCCCAAGTGCACCCTCTGCTGCTAAATTAATATACAAATTGGTCTCACTCTCAACCGTTCAAGTACAAACATTTGGTTAGTGCCCCATGGCGTCTAACTAACTAACTAACTCCTATGTAAACCCACCTGCGTTATTATTATTAGACGGTCAGAACAGCTGACATCGTCGCATCGACAAGCCGTCCCTGTCACGTCCAAAACTGACGCTAGAGGGGAACCTAAAAGCGTCAAGCTTAGGGCCACCGATCTCTGGTATTTGAAGATGTGAGAACATGTGTTGGAATATAGGCCAAACACTCCTCTGTTCCCACATCTTCCCAAACTTCCTTCTTTTCCTCCCTGAATCTCAGCGTGACCAATAACAGCCCCGAGGAGGCATCATCGTAATTCCCCGTAAATGACAACTAATGAAGATGGTATTTCCCCTCATTACTTTGTGTCTTTGAGAGGGGGGGGCAGGGCTTTCGGTGGAGCTCGGTTGATGCAAGCATGTTTGTTTCCCTCTCTGCTATCCACTCATGGAAAACTAAGTGTTCCTCTTTTCTCTTCCCCTCTCCTCAGCACCTCCGACAGTCAAGGATGAGCACTCCCCTCTTATGGCTGTATCAAGCACACGCCCAATTAGCACCGCATGGTAGGTGAGAGCCATTTTGAAAACATTTCTCATTACACCTTATCACTGGGGCACAGAGGGGGGGGGGGGGGGGGGGCAAAAGAAGAAAGTAAGAGGGGTGAATGAGAGATGGAGAGCGAAAAAAAAAAAGGGGGGGAGGGCTGGAGACATCAAAGCGTTCCCGCTCTATTTAAATTGAGTGATCTTCTGTGAAAGATCCCCACTACATAAAGATTAACCCCATCCTCCCTCCCTCCCACTCACACACGGCTAATATCACACACCCACATACCCTTGGATTTATGTGTCAGGGGTTAATAACTATGAGGATGAGGACACTGGGGGTGGGGGGGAGTTCATGTGGGGTGTTCCTGCAAAATGCACACGTGTGCGTGGGCTTATATGTATGTAGATTATGT